GATAAGTTTTCCCTCTTTTGCCTCTTTTTCCAGTGTAGCAAATCAGTATTCCCCAGTTCAAGGGTCGAAATCGAGGCGTTTCTGCAACACGTGCCTCCACATTCGCAGTGCGTGGCAAATTGCGCGTGGAAAATGTGAAAGCGTCGGAGTGAAGATCGGAATCTTGGGTAGCTTAGGCCAAATGATTTGGGTAATGGCCACAGATGAGATGACAAACTATGAGCTGGCACAAATGACAGGCCAGGCAGGGCAGGGGGATCGGGATGGGATCGCGGCCCATCAATCAGAGGCAGCGACAAATTATGGAACTTCTGTAAACGAATCGTGGACAATGTTTGGCTGCCAAAAGGCATTAAAACCCAATCAGAGGCGAGACAACTAACAGGGAGCAAGGGGTGTAGTGCCACCATCAAAGTCATCAGCTAATGAGACTTTGACTGCGCTTAGTTTTCGATTTGCCAGAAGAGAAGGCAGCCGCCTGCCACCTAACAACACAAAAAAAAAGGAAACTATGACGGGCCCAACTGTCAACGCGTGTCAAGCGCGGAAGAAACCATTTGACAGCCCTTCGAGGAGGGGCGGAGTCGCTCAATTAAAGCTTCTCTTTGGGCCAGTGCCCCTCATCTCGGTCCAAAAAGAAATCAATTAGTGCGAAATTAGCCAGAAGATATGAGCACACAGGGTCAGAGCCATATGAAGCCCAAACGGAGTTTCGTTTGGTAGTAAATCAGTTTTGAGCTCTTTCATTGTGGCTTTTGAGACTTTTGATATGGGTCTAGCGATTTGTATCTAATGAATTTTTAAGCTGAAAATTATTAGACATTTGACTCCAACTCAGATTTGATTGCCATCAACGATAGCCCCAGACAATCAAACCTAAAAGCTAGACTTCAAAGATGCCCGTCAAAGTATTTTGGGTTTTAAAGAGGTAATAAAATGACTTTTAAGATAATGAATTAGTAATCAAATAATATTTATAGTTAAAGGTGAACTCATTCATAATGAATTAAAAGAAAATAATGATTAAATTACAATTTTTCCAATTAAATCAAAATAAACTATAAAATTGTAAACACTTGACTGCCTGGAATGGTAACACAATTCATTCCAAATGTTTTTCCCAAAGGTACATTATACCCCCAGACCTGTAAACAAAGACGTATATCATAATCCCAAAAACAATAACAACAAGAGAACAGCCCAGTGATAAGTTAATCTTAAGTGGATTTGGCTTTTAAAGGCCAGGCACATATGATGGGAGATCATGGACCGCCTGTGGCCAACTTCAAGTGGAAAACCACAACTCCCTTATATAGCCGCCTAATTGCAACAGCCACTACAGTTTTCCAGCTTATCTGCTGGAAAACCCATAACCCAACCCATTGGAAAACTCCCGTTTGCATTTTGGAAGTCCTCTTAGGATCGCATAAATCACAGTCGAGTGCATTTAATTAATTTGTGCCTAGTGGATGAAAGAAAAAAAAAAAAACAACAAATATATGAAATGAAAAGTTGTGGAATGTGTGGGGCTGGTGGGGGGGGGAAGAAAATTCGACAAAAATATGAGAAAAATACAAAATAAACTAGGGGCACAATGGAAAAGTTGCGCATGCAGCTGCCACACACAGAAATTTGTTTTTATTTGCATCTGGCCGTTGTGTTGTGTTTTTCTAAATGGAAATTTGAAATTTTAGCCGCAGACGCTGTGGCAGGTGCCATTCTAACGGTAACTGCTCACTTTTTGTTTTCCCATTTCCATTTGGCTTGGCATCTTGTTCTTTTCTCTTTTTTATTTCTCGCCACTTTTGCTCTGTTTGGCTGTTGTTAGCCCGTTTGTTTGTTTGTTTGTTTGCTTGTTTGCTTGCTTGTTTATTTTCGCAATCTCTTCACGGTGGCTAGTTCAGATTTCCAATTATTGGATTTCAACACCCCCGCAATGGAGTAGCTCATTAGACCAAGTTTATCTGCCAGTCATTCGCTATGGAAAATCGACTTCCGATTGGCCATATTCAATATGCAAATTGTTGGGGGGCGGCGGTGGTCTAACTAAATCGCATCTAATTGCCACTTGTTTTCCGCGAAAACCACAGTCCATGCAATCGATTTCTCAGAAAACACTTTTAAACGCATTCATCGCAAAGGGAAAGCGACAGAAATTCACGAGAAATTCACCAACTAGAGTAGGGCAGTAGCAGTTATTGACTCGAGGACTCTTTCTTGGTTCGAACTCCGGAGTCCGTACTTCTATGCATATCAATAATTCCCATTAATTGCCCTGTGTCCATGCAAGCGGTTCCCCCTTTAACCCTCCTAGTCACCGGCACATTTCCGTTTCCGGTGAACTAGGTGGTGGCTGGTCAAAAGAGTGGGCGGGCCAGCACTTGCTGCACTTGGCTAATTCTGTTTTAATATTCAAATTTGGTCAACAAAAAAAAGAGACGAGAAAATGCCAGGGGGTTGAGATCAGAGTGCACGTTCTGTTCTGCAGCTCCATTTGTTGATGCAACATCGAGCAATTGCAGCAGCACAAGCATGAGGGTGGAAGTTTCTGTTGCTTTTCCTAAATTACGCCACATGCACTGAGAGAAATGGTGTTTTCATAAGAAAGTTAGAAGTACTACAAATCAATAAATTATTACCTAAAGGAATAATAATTTCCCTTCATAAGCAACCATTTACAAACATAAATAACAAAGAAAAATGGTATCTTTTTTCTCACAGTGCACCAAATGCAGACTGAAAGTGAACCGAAAATGTAAAAATGGAATAAAATCCAACGCAACGCTGAGGCGTTCTGCTTGGCTAGTTCCGGCAACAACAAAAGGTAAAATCGCCATGTGAGTGTGTGTCGGTCGAATACATTCATAAGCGGTTGAGTTTAACGAACTAGGCATTATTTTTTGGTCCACTCTACACTCGCACTCGCCAAACAAACTAATTTGGCCCCTCTCCCCAACCACTTCATGCTCCCCTGGACACAGACACAGACACACAAACACTCACTTAACCATTCTCCATTTTCACAATTTCGCAATTCTAAACATTTTCATTCAGTTTCATTTGCAGATAAGTCATTTTCTGGGACTTCTTCTTGGCATTGCAAAAACCAATTTGATTTGCGAAAATTTTTAATTCGATTTGCCGTAAGCCTTTTCAGGACCCTGATGCCAAGGACACTGTAGCAGGGAAATCAAATAAACAAATCAAATATTAAATGTGCCATTTGAGGCAGTTACTCGGGCCGAATGTCATGTGAAATATGAAATAATTTCTGTCTAGCTATTTGCCTGCAGAAATGCTGATTGGATGTCATCTAAAACGAAGGAGGGGGCAACTAAAATACGGTCGGTGGATGAGATATAGAAAACCTCTCTCCTAACTTGCCGCCACATGTGCAAAAGATAAAACCCCGATATTCGGGATGGTGCTGCAACATTTTTCTTATTTACGAGCCACGTAGCCATAAAAGGCGACATAAATTTCCTAGAACTGCTCCTGCTTTTCTTCCTCCTCAACAACCCGCCTCCCAAAAAAAAAAAAATGTGGATTTTTCGTTTGCCGAAAATGCAGGCGGCAGTCGAAAGCCGTGAGGAATAAAGAAATTGATATAAATGCCGGGGCAAACTCACACATCCCCAGGGGAAGTGGCAAGGAGAATCAGGATGGATAGCACACATTGCGTTGAAATTGCGCGAAATGTCGTCAAAAGTTTGTCAAAATATTTAAATGAATGTCTGTTTGATGCGCGGCATGATTCAATTCAATCTCTGCTCGAAATAAATTCCCACGAAGTCACAGCCTTGACTTTAAGTTTTTCCTCTTCGTCTGAAGGCTTTTCCTAATGGGAAAACAATCTTCGATTATTACACCAAAAACCGGAGCACTCTTTGCCACTCACGGCAATAACCATTAATAAAAATGTTTGGCATTTAAAATTAAACGACTACGCCGCACGTGCCGCCTTATTTTTGTTTTGGTAGGGCGGAGAAAACAGAAACTTTGAGGCAATTTCATTTCAATTCGAGTGTGGAATTTAAGGCCATTTGCATATCAAAACCGAGGGGGAAAGTCTCAGACGAGCGAGATTCCTTTTTGCCGCGCGCAGCTGGCGACGATTGCGAATCGCCTGCTCGACGGAAAACAATTAGCGGAAAATTCTCACAACTTTGGCAGCGGAATTCGCGCCCAACGATTCGACGTAATTGCAGATACTTTTCGGCATCTAAGAGGGCAGCGGGAAAGTATTTCCCCCCACAACTGTCGAAATATCATTAACATGAATTTATAAACAATCGCGGAGAGGCTTAATTAAATTTTCCCCCAGCAGTTCGCAGCAGAAGGAGTAGAATTTCTCTAAGGGATACCATGCTCCTGTGGCGATTTCATAAAACATTCACAGACCATAAATGTGTGAGAACTTTGGAAGAATGGCAGTTTTTTAAATAATTGTCCATAAATATAAGCGGACATAAAAAGGGCAACCGAGCGTTTAATCCGTTGTCGCATTTAATATATTGGCCATCGCAAACCCGGCGAATGGAGTAAGTAAACTGAGCTCCGAATCCTTTGGCTCATAAAATGTCAAGGAAATTTTTATTGATGAGCCAAAGGCGAACGACGACAATGAAAACACAACGCTCTCGCATCGCCGAGATTTCCTCGTCCTTGCTGCTCCTTTCTCCACGTTTACTGTAGTTGTAACTTTTTCATTCTTTTTTTTTTTTTTTTGCTTTTTTTTCGAGGACACGCCATAACCGATGGCCGGGAGTTGGGGCACGAAGTAAAAGTGTGTCAAAGTATTTCCCGGCACCTCCACACACTCCGCATATATAGTATATATATGTATATTTATATAGATATAGCTCACTCTCGGTGGTACACTTGCTAAATAGCAAAACCAACAAAACAATCCGGATCAGAAATCAGAAATCCGCTGACACGTGAATCCAAAAAACAACACACACACTTTTGTTTACCATATATCTTTTTGGGCTATATACCTTTTTCCAATATCCATGCGATTCCCTATATATGCAACAATTCTTCTCGGGATGTTATTCGTTCACTGTCTGAATCACTGAATCACTCGGTCACTAGTCACTTGGTCACTGGTAACTGCTTACTGATTCCCTGCAACGTACGAGTCGCGTGAACCCAGCGTTCGATCCGCACGATGTCCCGAAATCTACTGAAACTTGGAACTGAAACTGGGGACTTCACCGATATGTATTTCAAAGATACGAAATGTTAGGTCTCGTCGTCATGCTAACAGCGCTGAGAAATGTTAACAGTGGCATTCTCTCAGAGAATCAACCCGAACTGCAAGTCACGACTGACAGCCGACGGAAAACGAACGACCTATGCCAACGAGCTCAAACCTGTTGGCCAACTTAGGGTTTGTCAGCCGTGTTGTGTTTACGTTTTTTCTTTGGCTCAAAGGCGCCCGAGACACATGTTTGAGCATGTTGCTGGATTTTATCAGCATGTTGCTAAGATCGAACTTGGCAACATTTTCTCTTCGAAATGGGAAAAAAATAAGAAAGTATCATAGACATCTTTCTACATGCTAGACCAATTAATTATAAAATTAAATAGCAAAAACGATTTATAAAAATTCATTAAAAAGGTTGGGAAATGAATTATAATTTTTAAAAATAAAAATATTTAATATAAAAAAAGGAAAAGCACAAAAAATAATGGGAAACTGTCTAATAATAGTAATAAATTATTTATTATTGTTTTCAAATTAAGATGATGGGTTTTCGCACCATCTTTTTTCCAGTTGTTCTTTCAATTATCTATTTTAATTGCTATAAAAAACACTAACACATTGCTTTTTGAAATACTTCATAAAAAAAAAATCCCTTTAATTTGTTTTTCCAAAGAAGAGATGGAAATTAAAACAACAGCGTTGGTCTGTTGTGAAAAATATTTGTGACAGGCACAAGGACGAAGCTCTGACATGGCAAAAACTAGGACAAAATCAGTACAGGACAGACTGCCGGTCGCTGTGGGTGGACGCGTTCAGCGAGGAGGAGCTGTAACTTTTCTAATTGGCATTTTTCCGCAATGATTGCAGTTGAACACGCTGCGATAAAAGCTAATCGAATTATGCTTTTGGCAAATGCCACAACAGCTGCACGAAACCAGCAAAAACTAACAAACAATTATGGGTGGGGTCTCTCTGGAGGATGGGATGCGGAAAATCAGTGTTGGGGGGTGTTGGAATGATGGGGTTGTATAGCTTTGGTCTTTCGCCTGCTATGTGCAGCGTCATGTCAACGCCCAGCCAAGCAAAGAGAGGGCCAAATGGAGACGAAGCGGTACGGAGTTTCCGGCAAAAAGTTACTGGGCAAAGGAAAAAGCCAGAAAGGATTTGTGTATGCGAAAAAATTTTACAAGCCATTAACAAAAATGTTGCGCCTCGGCATATGCCACATAAAATTCACTCAGCAGCAGCAGTGGCAACAATGGAGGAGTCAGGCGCCTAAGCCAGAGAAGCAGAAATGCACAGGGGGTGGAACGAATGGAGTATTAACGAAGTAGCTGAATTTCAGATACTCTTTCCTTTTTGGTTTGTAAAATTAAGGAAGAACCATTCGGAAACAAGAATCTTCCTTCAGTAAAGTCCTTTTTCTTTTTCCTTTGGAAATATATAAGCTAATGTTAAACATAAATATGAAACTACAATAACATATTTTTCTCGTCGAACTTTCCTTCTCCGTCAAAGTCAATGCTAAATGGAAGAGCTGCAAACCTAATTTCCCTTACAAAGCTGGTATATTAATGGGGAAAACTCAATTATCCTTTGTGAGGGTATTAAAAAAGAGCGAGTCAGAGGAAGACGGAGAGAAGAAGAAAGGACGAAAGCGAGTCGAATGCCAAAATGTGCAATGCTAGCGATCTTGGCGCCGCTGCGTCCATTGTGGGTGAAAGTCCGAAGAGCGGGATGTGCAGAGTGGGTTTGATGGGTGGGAAGGAGAAGAGGATGGAGGAAACCCCTGCCGGAAACAGGAAAAACAAACAAGAGAATGTTATGGAAGGAAGAAAACACCAACAGAAAAACACATAAAAATAAAGCTGCGATACGAAAAGGCATGTAGGAAACAACAGGAGCGAGCACAAAAAACAACAACAAATGCTGGAAAACTCGCGCCTGTCGTGGAAAATGATAAATTTAAACGCAGTGACATGACAAATCGCCGCTCATTTGTATTAATCAGACAAAACAGCTAACAAAAAAAACAAAAAAAAAAGAGAACAAAGTCGAGGATTCGGGGGAATAGTGGCGAATTGCCGAGAAAATGGAGGACTAACCCTTTTGCCCCCTTAACTGATGTTGCAATTATTGTTTTATGGCTTGCTTGGGCTTAGCCATCTTGCAACTGCAACTGAAGTTCTGGGTGTTCCTTGGGTCCCTAAGTGAATTTTCGGGGGCGAAAGAGTGGTTGCCGTTTGCATTGCACAACGTTATAATTTGAGCAGAAGTTAATTTTGCGAGAAATTAAAATTCCTTTTCGCATTTGCAACTGCAGCTTGGCTCGTTTTGCGACGGGTATGGGGCACGACCGTCCATTGAGTGGGCCAAGTTCATTATGTGGGCCAACAGCATTTACTTCCGAGTGATTTATGCCCTACTCGACTCTCCTCCAGCTAGTGGAAACTGCCACAATGTCCGATTCCCTTGCAGCTGCCGGCTACTCCTCCATGTCCATGTGCTGCTCCTCTTGCTCCTGGCACTCCATTCCATTTGCCGTTATCTGGCTGCTGTCAGCATGTGTCAATTTAATAAATAAACAAACAAGAACAATGATAAAACGACTGGGCGGGCGGCCACTGGGCAAGTGGGCAAGTGGGCAAGAAAATGAGAGAGAACGGCACAAAGATATGTGTGGGCGAGTTCTCTGAGTGACTTCAAAAATGAAATGAAATAATTCCAAAAACATGAACTGAAAACGGAAACGGAAACGGGCAAGTGTCAAATGAAGAAACATGCCCTGGACAAAAGGACTTACCCACACTCCCACAAAACAAGAAAAGAGATGAGAACCCACATACACACACATATCAACTACGAAAAAATGAGAGGAAATGTCTTACACTCAGAACATATTCGCAGGTTTTATTTATTCAAAAAATTAAACTAACGAATCTATTTGATTGAATTAAAAACTTCAGATGAAAAACTCTTTGCAGAAAAACACATTTTATTATTTTTTATTTAATTATTTTTATTTAGAATAAAGAAATAAGTTTATTTGACTTTGCTTTGGTTAAAATATTGACATTTCTTGGCCTACAATAAGGATAAAGATTTTTAGCTAAGTTTTTTTAGGCTTTTAAGCTATGAATTGGTCAAAACAGGACTTACAGCTAAAAGAGCGACTGTTTTGTGAAGCTAACGACGAGTACTAAGAACGCTATAAATTCTGGGCTCATGGGATAAATTCCAATTTTTGCCCATTTTCGCATTTTCGATAAGGGGTACCATCATCAATTTTTGCGAAAAATGACCAAAATTTGACATTTTAAACTGTGAATGCAGTTTGAATAGGAATTTAATTTCGAGTTTAACGATGTATGACATTCCATATTCGGACAATTATAAGCTTATTTATAGGCATAATTCTTTGACTTCGTGGATAAAATTTGAGGTAACCACTTTTCCCACTTTCGGTCATCAAATTTTGCGAAAAATGGCCAAGTATTGACTTTTCAAGGCTGGAATGCAGTTATACTAGAATTTCACTTACTGATGAATTTCACTGAACCATATATACCATTCCATATTTGCTCAAAATATATTGATGTTTTTAGACGCAGGAAAAAGATTTTTAACCAACGCTTGTCATTGTTTTACAGGCTTTTAAGCTATAAATTGGTCAAAACAAGACTTACAGCTAAAAGAACGACTGTTTTATGAAGCTAACGACCAGAACTAAGAACCCTATTAATTTGGGGCTGATGCGACAAAATCAAATTTTTGCCAATTTTAGCATTTTCGATAAGGGGTACCATCATCAAAATTGGCGAAAAATGGCCAAAATTTGACATTTCAATGCTGGTATGCAGATTCACTAGAATTAAAATTACGAGCTAAACGATGTGTTATATTTGATATTTAAATCATTTTTGGTCAAATTATTGGCATTTTTTGCTTAGTCAATATATATTCCGCCTATAAACGTCTTTTGTCCCTTTAAAATAATCAGATTTCTTGTAACAAATCCTACGCTGAAGTTTTTTTGAGTGGCCAGAACAAGTAATATTTGTGATTAATTTGGTTTGCTTTATTGTTGGTTTATTTGCCTCTTATTTTCGTTGGTCTGGTCAGCGCGTGCAGCAAAATATTACGCAAACGAAACAACAGGCAGCGGATCAGGATTTTCGGGGCAACGTGGACGTCATCAACATCGTCCGTCGAACGTGAGCTGTCAACAACTTCTGTGTGCGAGCGATGGGATGGCCATTGTTGTTGGCTGCTTCTTCTACGGACTTCCCGGAGTCATCAGCCAATGGATGCCACCCACTGGGAACGACAACCCGCCTTACCCAAAAATGTTGACTTTTACTCGAGTGACGATATTAAATCGATGCCCAGCAAATGTCAATGCAGCTGGCGAAAAGTCCTTAAAGCTGGACAGTGCTCGCAAAAATAACCCCAAAAATTAAATCCCAGTGAAGTTTGTGATAAATTTGCTTACGCTGGCAACTTAATGGAGAGTTTGTGGAGGAGCTTGGAATATTCTTATTTTCTTTTTTGTGTTCTGGGACCACAGACAGCAGCCGGAAACCAGAGAACTAAAAGTCAACAGAAAGCCATAAGTAGCCAGCACCAAGAAGTACGCAAAAGCTTAACAGCAAATCACTGAACAGTGTGAAAAGCGAGTGAGATAGAAAATGGCTGTTGGAAAGGATTTCCCAGCAAGGACAACTAGTGCCAGGCGACCAGGCTAAGACAAGATTTTGCAGTTGTCTAATAAAGCTTAGTGCCAAATCCAAGAATTCAAATGAAACCAACTCGAAGAATGGCGTCTTAATTGTAGCCTTTGTCAGCTTTGCGAACCAAGCAAAGTCACCCAACAGACTTAAAGAAAGTTTAAATCGGATGCGAGTGTGCAAAGCGAATTACTTGCTTCATTAGTCACCCACTGACCCGCATTGCATTTGAGCCCCCTCATACCAAGGTCGTTGGAGAAAAAACATCAGGTGTCGGACTCAGATAGAATCGCATAAATAAAAGATGTCCTTCGATGGAATAAACTGATAACAATAGGCTACTCCCCCTTTTAACTACCCTATAAACCCTT